TAGTGGCAGAAATAGAGGTGAATTGGGTCGTGATATTGGCAATGGTTAGGGGGTCTATATGGAGAGTAATAATATGGGTGTGTGGCCGATTTATGGTCGAGTGGACAGATATGTTAGGGAATGTTGTTATGGTCTATAGTGGTGACCTCACGTGGTAAAGTTTGATAAAGATTTGAGGGTATTCGAGAAGAGTTATAATTATAGTGGTGGTAAGCGAGTAAGAAGAGAAAAGTGTGGGTAGGGGGAATGAAGAAGCTAATGGAAGTGGGAATATAGGAAGTGAGACACCGATGTAGGCAGTTAACTGGATTTCCATGCTATTTTTATAATTTGAATTTATTTTACTTAGTCTGTGTATGCTCATTACTTATCTTTTACAGATGATGTAGCACAGGAAATTGGACCAGAGTTTCCAAGCTTAGCGTGTAGAGGAGACGGAACGAGAAGTGTTTGTAGTGAACCATAATACTTATATAGTTAGTAGAAAGTAGATCATTTTAAAATGAGATATTGTGTAATTGTAATATACGGTATTGATAAATATATAATTGAGAAACCTTAGTCATTGAATGATTAGACTTGAACATTGTTTATGTATCAGATTATATTGTTATGAGAGAAATTAGTTGTGGAATGGTATACGTCATGTCACGTATGCAAACAGGGTTGTCGTAACACCTTTGAAGTTAAGATCGGGGTGTTACATACAATATCTACAATGATAAAATCAAGAACCCAGTTGAGAGTAATTGAAAAAAATTAGAGAAAAATTGCAAATTAAGGACAAATATAAGGATTTAGATGAAAAAAATGTTGCCAAACTGAGGTGGAATTGTAATTTCTAGGACTTTGGACATGTCAATGATCCAATGCTTATGTGAGCCAATCAAATCTGGCTACATATGCAGGCTACGCTAAAACATGTTGTTTGTCAAATAATGGCTCAGATAGAGCCATATAAGGCTGACGAGGCGAATTGCATGACATAGGCTTTGACCTTTAAAAATTGACAGTTCAAATTGGTTTCTTTCGTTTGACGACCATTATTAACTCGTGGCCATTATAAAAAGGAGAGTCAGGTCGCAAGAAAAGACATAGAAACCCCAGGCATGCGGTGAGGTCGACAGAGGAAGAAATATGAAAAGTGATGTTCGAAATGTTAGAGTGGAGAGTGAATTGCGAGTAGTCCTACCGGAGTATAGCCATCACCGCAAGAGAGGTAAGTGTTTTTTTTTTACTCGTTTGTAAATCTAAAGGTCGAAACAAATAATTTAATTTATTGTGGACGATGAATATGGGGTGTATGGTAATTGCAGCTTAGGGGGAAGAAGGACCATCACCACGACCCGATACCATCACTTGAGACAGAGAAGGTAAGATCAATTTGATCTTCATAACCTGAATTTGAAATTATGTGCATTTAAATCCATGTGTTAGATAACATAATTAAAAAGTAGAATTATTGTGAAAAAATGTGTTATAGCGTAGATTAGGCAACTCAAAACTTATACCAATGGTGGATTACACATATATTGTGGACATAAGTGTTCTGTAAAGGAATATGCTCTTTAGAATGTAGCAATGAATTAGTTAGAACTTAGGAGATCCCTGGTGGGTTGGGGAGAACTAGGCCCTTTTATACAGGCCAAACTTGAAGCCGAGCCCAAAAAGAAATGGACAGAAAATAATGATTTGAAAATGGGCTAAACTCGAATGGATAATGGGCATATTAGAATTCTTAAAATGAGTTAAATAGATTGAAATAAAAGGATTGAGCTGTTGGGACAAGTTAAAAAGGGAAAGGGGGATTAAATGAACTCCAGTATATAAATTAAAATAGAGAATTATAATTTAATACAAATTGGGGATTTGGTGGTCTTAAGATATCTGTTGAGTGGACTTTAGAGAAATAAAACTAACAGACAATGTAGATATGATGAATTATAATAAAGTAATTTGTTTAGATCAAGAGTTGAAATATGAAGGAAGGTGAATAAAAAAGAGTTATTAGCAAACCAATAAATCATTGATAGGAGCTGTAGAGGAATAATTACAGGAAATACTGTAATATTAAATTTAAAAAATAATAAC